TCAGAGGAAGTACTGGAGCTTACCTTTCCTGCTTTTCCTCACCCAGAGATCACTATCTTGTCTTGCCTTACACCCAGCCAGTGGAAACAATTAAATTTTGTGGGGGTTTTTTGTAGTTTCTGGTAGGAATTACTCCATGTTGGCTGTTGGTAGAAATCCTTAATTAGGTATAAACCTGCTGTTTTGATCATCTGTCAGACTGCTTTATGTTTTAGTTGGGAAGAGAGGCATTATTAGCCCCTAAAACTGTCAAAAACAAAACCTTTATTTTGTTCCTTGTGATTAACAGAACGCTTCCCTAGGGTAATTGCCGTCTTCTTCCCCCACCACAATATATGCAAGGAATACAGTCATATTGCACCATTAATGTGGCTCCCAACTGCAACGAACCTCTTGGCGATACAGCATGTGTTTGTGGTTTAAAAATAACAGATTCTAACATGCTGAAAACTCTCATCCATGCCATTTCTTTCTCATATATATTGGCCTTCTAATTTAGTAGCCTCTTTATTAAGAATATTTATTCCTTAAGAATCTTTTTAGAAGTAATCACTTCTAAAAATTAGAAATAGGTTTTATATATGGTCAACTTTTTGGTATCTACTAAAACAAGCTGAGTTTAATTATTTAACCTATTGATACGGTATTTCCTTATGTTGAGCCTATTTAAAATCCTAGGGGGAAAAAAAGAGCTTGGCCATGAGAAACCATTATATTAATGTATTTCTAAACGTTATTTGCTAGTATTGAAGATTTTCAAATGTATGCACACAATTGAGACTAATCAGACTTTCAATTTTTGGTGATCTGTTTAAGGTTTTGGAATCTTTGGTTGCAAGGAACAGAAACTGATTCTTGTTAGCCATATATGAAATTAATTGGAAAGATATGGAGTAGCTCACAGGATGGAAGAGAAGGCTAAACAATCAGACACATGAGGTATTTCAGTATGCCAACTTCAATTTAAATTAATCTCAACCACTTTCTTGCATTATTCTAGGAAGAGTTCATCTAATTAGCCTAATTTTGATCTTATCCTCACCACAAAGGAAGGTGACTGACAGTCCCAACAA